GGTCGAGCTAAATTGTGTGAATGTCAGTCATATCTACATCTTTCAAGTGAAAGGAACTCTGAAGGCAGAACGACTCTTTTAATCAAATAACATCATTCATTTAAGCAAAACTTTGGTTATAAGGAAGCAGATTTGAGTAGAAACTTTTTGAGAGAGAAGACATAGGTTTTTTGGTCACCTTGATAGTTTGCTGCCGGATCCAAACAATTTTAGCAGCAATTTCCGTCAAGAATCTACCCTGCTCGACGTAATTACCGATACGGTTGTCGGTTTCCCGCTCTTTCTCGACAAGCTTAGCAGACAACTGATTGAGTAACGTTTCTCTGAAATGTAGCTTTTCACTGAAGCCATCAACGCTTGCTTTCAAGTCTCTATACATTATGGATGTAACAATTAAAATTGCCATAAGATTATCAGTTATGGAACCTCAGCTCACAAAGAATGTTTTTTCAACCCTGCGACATTGAGAAGCGAATTTGATTTTTATAAGATTACAGTGACACACATGAAAGGTAGAATAAAAGAAGACGATTTCTTATTACCTATAGTAAATTACCCTCAATCGTAAACTGGGAGTTTTGTCTTCTCAAATACTCGTAATCTTTACCTTTCAATCTGTAACTTTTCCTTGATTTTGGTTCGGCATAGGAAATTTTTATACTTTTCCAATTCTGCTGTCATCTGAAATCAGCCGCTGTAAGTTATGTTTGCATTTCTTAAACTCAATCAAATAGCAGTGAAAGCGAGCTAACCTGGTGACTTTCAAGCTTATTTGGTTGCAGCCGGCTTTTCAGCACCGGTATGGTGCGTTCAATGATAGGATCCAAGGCCTTTTCAGCCATCTAAATCATAATTCCATAGTTGTTTTATGACATCAAGGGTAAACTTCCTTACCGCTACTCTTGAATTCCATACATGTTCTGTGAGTGGATTGTAGTCAAGTACTGCAGTATTTCTCAATGCCGCTTCGATTGTTGTCTCTACTTCGCTTTGAACTCCTCGTTCATTTAGCAAAAGAGCTATTTGTGGCCCAAGTTGTTTTAGTGAACGCACCTAAAGTTAGGGGTTTTCTCTTGCGCAAATCACCAAGAAAGAACGTTTTATTGTTAAATTGAAACTTTGAAATTTCGCTTTCGAACCTCTTCAAGTCTTTTTTTGAATCCCTGCAGATACTTCATATCCACTGCTTCACCCTGCCAAGCTCCATCTATTTGCCGTTTCCAAGTCTGTCCAGTCATGAGCTGTACCGAAAGCTCCCACTGACTACATGCTGCTATTGCTGAAATTGGCCCTTCTGTTCCACTAGTAA